AGATTGAACCTGCCCATATCAACTTTTACAAAATTAGAAGTTATTTTATGCTCTTTGTTCACGCGACAGCAATAGTCAACATGTTAACAATATTCAGTTAATACAAATTATAAACACAGCAGCATGCACTAACTTAGAATTAAGAAAGGAGTGCAAATTTGTCGCAGTTCAGCTAGGACCAGAAATGGAGGAGACGTTGTCACTGTTCAATGTCAAAAACAGAGGTACATATCAGTGAACAGAGAGAATGAGAGAGTGCGAATGTCCAAACATGGCCATAAAACAAAGAAACGATTATGAATATACCTTTAATTTTCAATTGCGATGTCAGGTGTGCTTGTTTCTCTGCAAAAATTTCTCAAAGAATACTGAACAGAGAGAATTTTGAAGTACAGACTTGGCGAGGCGATAGGAATAACCAGATTAAGTTTTAAAAATATAACATCTGATAGCGGTTATTTCATAACCGCTCTCTAATATGGACTTATGAGAGTGGTTCATTTGAAACCGCTTTCTAATATATATTTCTTAGAGCGGTTATTTAACAACTGTTCTCAGAAGTTATATAAGAGAGCGATTCCATTTGAACCGCTCTCAGAAGTAAATATTAGAGAGCGGTTATATATTAGAAAGCGGTTGAGGCGGAACCGCTCTCTTAGTGTTTTATACAAAGTGGTTATTACTAACCATTATCTAAGTAGGCGTTCCAAAAGTTAATTTCTGGCGTAGTGTCACAAAATTCAAAGCTCTTGTTTTATTGCTCCAATGAGATTCGCCCTACCCAATTACAAATTTATATACAATTAAGAGGAGTGTGCATGAATGTGTTGCACCTTCTCTCCTTTCGTCTTTTGTCCATAAATCATTTCCGTTATAGATTATAGAGGACATGCAGAATAGAGATGACTTGTAATGATTTAGCGAGTCATTTTCGAATCTATGAATAGCATAAGTGTTGTATACCCGTTACCAAGGAATGAATGTCATTTTCAGTTTACTTTTGTATTTTATAGTGCTTCGTCGATTAAATGCCAACTTGTTCGAGAAATCCTTTATGTTTATGAAGGTTGGTTGTGTTGAACCTACTTCAACAAAAACAGCAGCCCATACACACAAATAGAAGTGATAAGTATCATAATGGTTTGAATCACAAGAACAAAATCAATGTGATTTTCTAAAATTAATGGATTCAGTAAAAGGATTCATACAAAAAAAGTTAGTACACTACATTTCACCCGCAACAAATTATTAGCAAGACTTTAGTGCTTACATGGATTTTTCCTTCAAATCCTATTCTAATGCTGTGCATTAAACTTCATGGAAGTGATTAAGAGGAAAAATATTTCAGACAATGTTCTACTAACATGGAGGAACAATATTAGAGAGCAGAAAAATTCCCTGCCTGAAAGAGTTATATATATATATATATATATATATAAACAATTTTTATCCACCCATTACATTGCATGAAAAATATAATTTACTTAGAACTAAATTACTTACTTACATTTCATGCATTATGGTTCTTGAAATGTCAGTATTCGTGTTGATTAAGATGCCATACAGAGTTAGTTTCCACGTGATTTATTTGCCTTTACCTTTGACCCATATCCTATACATGCAGATTTACGCTTGGCCTTGTTGGTTGTATGTAATTGAATGGGAGATAGATTTCAAGATAATCTCGGTGCAGTTCGAAGTTAGCCTTCCTTTTGGGCGTATTCCAAGCTAGTGCCTGTTTTGTATTTGGTTTTACCTTGTATCTTCAGCTTTGGAAAAAAGAAGTCTCATAAAGTGTTCCTTTTTCAGTTCAATCTAAACCCCGTTTCAATTACAATACAATCGTGCCCTTAATTCAGAGTTTTTACTCCATACTCTACCCAAAAAAAAAAGAGCACGCATATATATTTTTCTGAATAAAGTAAAGTTGACTCATTCCTGTTAGATTAGGAAATGTCACAAATAAAGACTTGATAGTCGTACGTAATGACTTGTCTCTTTAATATTTTTCAAAAAATAGGGAGAAGTGGGATGCGTGATTAATTGTAATACTTGATGAATATGATTGTCTGGCGATCTTAGCTCAGTTCGATGACACGCTTGATTCAATTATTCATGTCCACAGTGTACGATAGCTGCAAGCCCACTAACTAGCATGAGCAAGACAGATTTCAGTACCAGCTTCACTCATAGCTTCTCTATGCTCTCCTTTTCCTGAAAAATAAAGAGCATGATGACAAAATGCTATTAGTTATAAGTTAAAATTTATTAAAAAATATAAAAAAGTATTTTTTTTTAAAATGTGCATATTTCTCATGTAAGCATTCACGTAGAAACAACAAATGGTAGGCACAAGAGCGTCTATGTATTTAAGAAACTATCATTATTACGTATACGTCTGTTCTGATATAGGAAGACCCAACACCCCTTTTAGCTTACCTTCTCTCTCTTCTATGGGTGTAATTTAATTATCCAGTTGCATTACAAAGCAGTGAAATTTTTTTTTAAAAAAAAAATCGTCTCAAATAGAAGGATTAATAATCTAAGCAAGTCAAGTAAATTCATTCAACGAAATTTTTTTCTTCAAACATATTTTTCTATTTACAAAATGTATACACAAGACTTACGTAAAATAGAAAAATTTCTTGACACTTTAAATTATAAATTGAAATTACAAGTTGCCACTTAAATTCCATGGTATTAAGCGGAAGACTAAACTAGTGTTGGATCTCTTTGTATAGTTCGTCTTAGGATTGCACACAGAAAATTCATTTTGAGTTCCAAAGAGAAAGAAAAAATCTTTGGTTTTAATGAAAATTTGAGTAAAATCAATCCCAAAAAAAAAAGGTATAGGTGAGTTCAAGTTATTAGATTGCGTGTGGTGTACCCACACTTGATTCAGAAATATGAGAAAAATACATAAACTTGTAAAGAAAAACATAAAAAGGCTTTAATATTTTCAAAATCCAATTTTTATAATAATTGAATGTGAAAGCATGATCATGAAGAAAGAAAAAAAAGTACATGATGAAAAGGAAAAATTTTCGTAACTTGGACATAAAAAAAATTGAAGCAAGTTCATTAGTCGGTTGGAATTCTCCAATTTGTTGGGTTACCTTTTTTTTTTTTCAACAATTTGTTGGGTTACCTTCTTCTTGTTATCAATTTATTGGATTAGCCGAATAATTGAGAATGTGGGCCTCCTAGCCCAACTCTGTAGAAAAAACATATACGGATTTTTTAAAAAAACAATTGGGTCCAAAAACACTGGTAAGGATTAAGGAGCATGCTTAGACATCACAGCAACATCTTTGGATTTTAAACCACTGTTTATGGGTCTAACTATTGTCCCAGAAACAGTTAAATGGCCCATCCTAGCCCTTTTTAAATCGCATGGAACTTGAGCCGCAGCTTTAAGATTAAACGAAATTTTGACCCCAAAAAATTGAAGAGATTAATTTTTATTTTTAACATTTTTTCAAAAAAAAAAAACAACTAAAATTTAAATCAAACTGTCCCAAAACATCAAATCTTTGATTATGAATAAGTACTATGCGTACACTGTGGCTAACCGTTGCCCCCTTTTTCATGCTTTTCTTCCCCTTTCGTTTCTCAACTATTGAATGACCCCACCAACCTCTTTTTGGGCAAAGCATTTTCTTGATCTTTGTTTCATCCTTTAGAAAAGAAACAAAATATAAAACAAACGGTAAAAGCTGCTTCAGGTGGACCACGACACCGAAAACGTTTAAGATCATGTTGCCACATCATTTGTGTTATTTTTTTTATAGCCATGTTGCCACAAATTATAGTAAACATGTTTGATTTTACATGAATCTACGTAAGTAATTAGAATTTTTGCGTTAGATTTATATTTCAATTTTTTTATAATGTACTTCTAACACACGCTAAAGCTCTCGTGATCCTAACCTGGCTCTCATTGAATGCTCTCCAACTCAATAGTGTGGCAGGGAATGAAAAGACAACCGAGTTGAGAACTACCCAATTTTCAAGATATTCCAACATTAACACCCTTTTATTGTAGCAGTAGAAGATTTAATCCTAGTTCAGGCTTTAATTTTGAGGATAATAATTGCAGATCAGAAATAGTAAGAAAAAGTATTGGAGAACAAGATGATGAACAAAGGACATTCCATTCATTCCTCGTAACTTGTCTTGTTTTTGTCAAACTCGTATCTTATTGTAAAAACTCACCAAATAAACCACCCAATGTTTTACACACTTTCGTATAACATACTCTATTCCATTCCAAATAGGAATCCAAGAAAAAAAGAAGTTTGGGCCCTGACTACTGAGAAAGACACTAAACAAACACCATGCCAGTTGGAGACACCCATACAAGGACTTGAGCTTTGAAATTTTTCCAAAATCTCCATTTCCTTCTCAATTCATTTCCAAATAATTTTTTTCCCTCTAAAACAGGTTGATATATTTAATTGAAATAAAACAAGAGGCAGGTTATTTCCCCCACGGTTTCCCTATCCTTGAATGAGCCAACCCCATCATTAAATCTGAAGAAAATTCTATATAATTTTTACTAACCATATCCATAACCCTGATTGTATTTTTTCGGTTAAAGTATTGATGACGACATTAAATAAAATAGCATATCACAGAAGGAATATCATAGTTCTTTAAAACACAAGATCATCATTGTGAATAAATGAACTCTGCGTAGGCAAAATAGGCATCAATCGTTGATCAGTAGTAATGTAGAACACAACTACAACTTAGTTATCACTTAACACGTAAATATCAATGAAAAACAAGATGAGATAATAACTAAGCCCGAAGCTCATTAAGTTGGTCCATGATAATACTAGATTAGCAGCTCTAACTACATAAATTACCTAAGTTGGTCCATACATTATACAAAACCAATTGCTAGTGAATCAAAGCAAAGTCACCTCAACATAAAATTCTCCACACTTAAAGCAGCAAAAGAAAGTCGCCACTCACCACTGCCACTCTTATTTCACTTAGCTGAGAATAAACCGACAATGAAGGAAACCTGCAACCAATATCACTTTTATTAAATGGGAGAAAAGAAAAAGAAAACAACACAAGATAATCAACAACAGTGCATGCTTACTTGGGTCAGAATTTATCAACATAGCAGTTCCTCCAAAGCTGCATGTTCCACCATTTCTCTTGTGCTTCTGCCAGTAACTGTTGAAAGCATAAGAAGCATGAGCAACAACAGTGTCGGGATTGTAGCAGTTTCCCTGCGGTTCAATCTCCATGCAGTCAGCACCACCCTCTCCACAAGCATAGTCCAAAGCCTGTTGCAGTGTTTCTGGAGGAACACTAGGCTTAGCCACACACCACAGCTTCTGAACCGGGATTATTTGTGGATAAGGTGGCTCACTGTGGATTGGATTACAAGGAGGCAAAGTGGAAGCATGAGGTGAACTAGCTGGAACAACAAAGGGTGGTTCTTCAGGGGCAAAAGTGGTAGAAGGCATTGGAGGAGGAGAAGAAACTACTTGAGCTAGAGGAGGCATAGGTTTTACTGGTACATTGGAAGGAGAAGGATGACCGACAGAGAAACCTAATGGGGGCCCAGCTATATCTGGCATTGGAGCTGGCCTTACTGGAAATGCGCCTATCAGGCTTGCATCCACAACTGAAAGCTTTCTTGCTATTGTTTTTCCCACATTTGGAACAATGGCTACAACATTTATGCTGTTGGGATAGAAAAATCCTAACTTTTTCATGGACTCCAAGTGGGAAGACACCAAGCTTAAACTTTTATCAGAAAAATGTGAGAAGGCTAAATGTGGGATCACAGAATATGTAGAGTTAACACTTTGGAGGAAATCTATCACAGGTTTGACCATTTTCAAATCATCGTTATAAGAAACTGAGTTTAGACTCAAACAGTCCAAATTAAAAGCAACAGAAACTTTAACATCTTTCTCCAAACCCCACCTCCTTAAAGAGTGATAGATATTCTTCAAAGAAGACAGAACTACAGGGAGATTCTGTTGCTGTTGGTCTTGTTGGCAGAAGGCAAGGCTTCTCAAGACAATGGTGGTGATTTTTGCCGCTGGGTAATGTGCAAGAACATTGTGTCTGAGCCAACTTTCAGCCAACAAAATGCTCCTTGATACCCCATTGAGGTCTCCACCACTCACCAAAACAGCTAAGGGAAGCTCACCGTGTGACGATGAGGCTCGCAAAATGTCATCACTTGCGTCACAGAGGTTTAGGAACTCAATGGATTCTTGACCAGTAACTGCAAATGCAAACCACAAAACAAAGACTTTCATTAGAGGAAAAATAAAAATGTGAAGAAGCCCACATTGACAAAGTTGAGAGGTTTGAGAGAAGATTAGTGTATTTGTTCTTACCAGTAAGACCCAACGAACAAAGAAAGAAGAGAGGAAATAGCAACCCCATCTTCAACATTTCTCAAGAACAGAACCACAATGTTGAAACAATCTGGTCTTGCTCGGGGGTTAATGGCTTTTACCCTTTACTTATATTGGAATGGAACCTTTCTGAATATTGCAGAGGAAGGAACAAATTTCCTGCAGTTCATGAATTTCCATGCGTTGCTTACCCAAAGGTTGAGCCTTTTTAGTAAAAAAAATCAACACTTGACTCGTTAGAAAAACACTAAAAAGACAGATTTGTACGTGTTACACAGATCGTTAAAATGAAAAATATATGTACTTATTTTAATATTTTAAGGAATTAAAATTATCATTTGTTGAGAATAAATAAATTATAATTTGGCAAATATTTAATTACATAAACAAATTATCCGTATATAAATAATGTTATTTATATATTGTTTCATTAATTGTATTGTTTTTAATTCTCTAATATAAAAATTAACACGTTATCACACCATTTTCTTTCCTGCTAAACCAATTAACATGAAGGAGGAATATTGTGGAGCAAATAAGAAACTCAAGCACAAGTGTACAAGTACAATCACTTCCAGAACAAAGAGCCACTTTTTGAGTTTTGGTTTCTTTCTTTCTAGCTGTTTTTTTCCCTATTGATGCCAAGGTTTGGTTTAAATATATTTTTATATAAATTTTAATGAGAAGAAAATTAATATAAAAATTAAATAATTTATTTATTAATTAAAAAATTGTCAAGAATTATAAAAGCATGAACTTATTTTAACTTATAAAAAAGTGATTCATTCTATTATTTAAATTTTTTATTTTATAATTATTCATTTTACCCAAAGTAAACCTAATTATGATAACTGAATATATGTTTTCAAAAAACTATTATTATTTTTGCTAAATTAAGCCTGCTTCTGTCAGTATACCGTTAGCTCTAAAATTATAAACATTGATTATTATTTTTTAAGTTATAAAGAGTGAATTTAATCAAAAAAATGACTAGCTATTAATTATTTTAAAATTTAAATTTATGAACTGTTGATTTAATTTATAATTTTGACACCTATTAATTATTGACATTCATATATTTCAGTCAGATTGATTCTTAACCTTAAGAATTAAATTAATAAAATAATAATAATTTCAAGCATTAAATTTATTAACGTACAAAATAGTAGAGATAAAATTAACTAGTAATATCATTTTAAGAAAATAATCAAAAAATATAATTTTTAAGAATTAATTTTTTGTAATTTAAAAAATTGAGTATTTGTAAAGATACATTTGGATTAACAGGTTTTTTTATGTAAAAGAATATCTAATTTATTTTGAGTCAGAAAGATCATCAAATAGATATGATCTCCCTTAATAATTTTTTAAAAATAAAAAAATAATTTAATTGAACACTTATTTAAAAAATTCATTATGTGATAATTTAACTATAAATCAAAATAAATTTTAAAACATTTTGACAAATACAATATATATATATATATATATATACACACTAAATAATTTATCAAAATAAACCAACAAAACCATGCAAAAATTATAAACAAAATTGTTATAATAAAATCTCTATATTCTTCCTTTTACTAGAAAGATCAACAAATTTTCAAACTCCCCTAATTATATTATTAATTAATTAATATGAATCATCAATAACCGCAATAAGAACTGGACTAGTTTTTTTTTTATAATAAAGTAATGTTTGATTGATGTAATATATATATATATATATATATATATATATATATAAATGAAATTAGAAAACTTTAGAATTTTTCTTTAATAAACAAGAAGATTTGTAGGAAGATCCTTTGTGCTAATTTAGAATTATGAAAATTTTGAATAATCATGAAAATGATATATTTGTATATTTTAATATTTTTATAATAGAATATATAACGTAAACTTTCATATAAAAACAATTTGTAAATAAATATATAATCAAGTGTACCCTTTCTCTTTTACTCCTGAAATTTGTGTACTTGCGTGTTGATTACAGTGATAAATTTTGACTAGGAAAGTATTGCATGCTTCAATAAAATTTCTAATTCTATCACTGATTTTAAGCAAGCTTCCAGTGAATATAAAACCCGTTAATTTAAACTAAACAACCAAAAACAACTTAAAACATATATAAGAAATTTTCGTGGGAAGAGGAGCACAAGAAAAACACGTCATGCTACTTTGTGACACATGCAAGAAAAAGCCCCACGCTCTGGGCTCCAACACAGATTAAAGAATCAAGACGTTACAAAGAGCCCACAATAGCGCCAATGGCCCAATTCCCGGTATAATGTTTGTAGATTGTAATAACGACAACACTACAATTGACGTTTCCTGCACGTTCCGTACAACTGCTGCATCTACATGCCAGAAAACCACCTAAACGACATGTTGCTTTTTTATGAGTGTCGTCTCGTAACAAGTTAACATCGTTTTGACACGTTGGAATATAATCGTTATGCCCCTCATTGTAATGCCGTGTAAAATGGGTAAAGCAAACAGATAATTAATTAATATAATAAAAATATCGTCGGTACAAAAGCTAAGTACATAGAAGTTACTAACTTCTTATGGAACCTTTTTTTTTTTCCTTTTTCATGAATACCACCGTTTTATAGTAGCTAATTGCGGAGTGTCATAGTTCGGCCATTAATATACAGTTAGTAAAACTACTTGTTTCATTTGAGCTTATCTGTTACAGGTGATTATTTTAATGAGTTGTGTTAAAAAATTTATTATAATTCAGATCTTGTAATTTTTGCGGGTTAAATAAGCTTAATCGAATTTAGTTTAAAAGAACATGGGATTTAATCGAACATAAAAAACACTACTCTTCAAAGTGAAAACAATATGGAATTCACAAGTGAGAAAGTTTCAGGTGTCTAGTTTATTAGAAGAAATTTCATGAATATAAGAGTATGTTTAGTTCACATCGAGAGACTGTACGTACAAATAAAATAACACGCGTAATCCATTCAAGATTATTTCACCCCAAAAAAGAAGTTCGCCAAAAGTCTTGATCTGGATGGAACATGCATGTTCATGTTATAGTATAGTCAGCGCAGGTGGGACCCGTTAAATGTTTGCTGTGCTCTGATGAGTGCGATTCAAAGATACTGATAACGGAGAAAATGAAAGATATGGTCTTAGCTTTCCGTTGTGCTGTGTTCTACGAATTCTGGTCAAGATAGATAAATCGGTGTCAGTTCAGAACACCAGTTTCCAGCTGGAGCCTGGAGGTGAGGTCTCGCTTCAATCCATCATCATAGGTCCACACACACTTTTTCCATTACTTTTTTTCCCACCTTTCCAATCTTAAGAAGAATATCTCCCCATTTATATCTACAATCAAAGGTAATTTGCTCCCCTCCATTTTTGGATTATTTAAATTTCAAATAAACCAAAATCAAATGAGTGTTTTATTATTTTAACAGTATTTTATTCACTTCTTAAATAGCATTTCGCTGTTATTGAATATCTAAACTACAAAAGACTATTGTACTTCTCAAGAGACTACAATGAAAAATGAATTTATTATAATTTTAGTTATAAATAATACTTTTATGTGTTATTCTCATTTTTATTTAATTCTTTTTAAAACATCTCTATCATTAACATATTTACAAAAAGTTATTTTAAACAAAATTTATAGCGAGAATAAGTGTAAAGTATATATAATATTATTAAAATTGAATTGAATAGATGTGATTCTTTTACTAGAAATTGACTTTAAAAATTAATTTATTTAATAAGTTATAAAATTAAAGTTTTTACATGTTATGCTTAGATATTTAATGATAAATAAAATATACCAAAATAAAATAAAATAATATATATACTTGGATAACTTTTTTTTCAAAAGAATCGAGATTTTTTCTTCTTCTTTGTAATACATCTTAAAAAAAGATGTACAATTTTTTTTTGAAAATAATATAATTATATTTTAAAAAATTATTTTTTATTTTATTATTTTAAATTAATTGTTATTATTACTTATATTTTCAGTTTTATATAACGTTTACGTGAACAATTATAGTGATTAAAGTATTTAAAATATTTTAAGAAAATCACATAAAAGATATACAGACTTTTCTGATTATATTTATTTCTCTAAGTTATGAGTTGAAAAAAGTTTGCTAGTTATTAAGAACCTTATTTTTAGACAAGAAGAATGCTCTATACTGAAGGATTTTTTACTACACCAAAATAATCTTTAAGGACAGTATTTTACACGCCTCAGACTAAATTGTTGATCAACTATTTTGGGTCATTTTCACAACAATCTTAAGGATTATGGCTGAATCAATAAATAATGAAAACTCTATCAACAACGTTGCAAATAACCATGAAAACAGACTCAAAGTAGATCCACCTAATCCAATTGCTCTCGCAATCAACTATACAAATTTTTCCCAAACATGTCAAAGATAGAGATGTTTCAAGGGAAAAACTTCAAACGATGGCAGGACTATGTCTATTATGTTCTTGACCTGCATGACATAGCTCATGCTCTCACGCAATTGAAATCATATTCATCTACTACCCCAAAATTGTTGGAAGACTAGACTTCTACTAATAAGGTTTGTAGACATACTATTTTCAGTACATTGTATAATGAATTTTTTGATATCTATTGTTCTTATAAGTAAACCAACAAAATTTGGGAGTCTCTAATTCTCAAATATTTTGTTGAGGATGCCAGCAGAGAAAAGTTCATCATTAGACACTATTATAAGTGGTAGATAAATGATAAAGAAGAAATCAAGACTCAGATCAATGAATACCACAAGCTGCTGGAAGACATGAAAGTTGAGAAGATCATACTGCCTGAGAATTTTGTCGCTGGACTACTAATTGAAAATTTATTAGAATCTTGGAAGGATTATAAGCAATTAAATCATAAGAATAAAATGTTGTCTCTAACTGAACTTATCACCCACATTATCATTGAAGACACAATTAGAAAGGAACTCAAGGCTGCAAGGGTAAAGGCATTGGCATCAAGAGCAAACATGATGCAAGTTAATAAGAAAA